ATTCTTTCAATAAACCCCTTTGGCTCATTTGAGGTCTGTGATGGGCTGGTGATGGTAATGATGGTTACAATAATAATAATAACGACAATAATAATAATAATAACTAGAACATGATGATGATGAGCATTATCAAATGATGAATAATACAACAAAGCAGAACATTTGAGATCCATCAAAGAAATAAAAATTAAGGAAAAAAAAAACTGAAATTAAAAAAATCACTAATTCACTAACTAACTTGACAGTTAATTTCTTGAAAACAGGTGGCGCAGTTTTCTTCCTGAAGCCAAAATAATAGGCACATCCCCCAGCTATCACAGCTAGCAGGAGGGCATCCAAGACCCCAAATGAACTCAACAAACTGTCAGACGACATTTTCTAGTGAGGTTTTCAACTCTTTCTTGAATTTATTAATCTTCTTTGTAGATTTTCTTCACAAAATTTTCACTTTAATGTTTAATTTTTTGTTGTTGATTCTTGAAACTTTGTTAGCAAATATTTAATATATAATAGTAGTCAGTTACAACAGATCAAACACATGCAGACAATCAAATTAAAAAAACACTAAAAAGATTTTAAGTTAGTAACTCTAGATCTGATCAGTAATAACTAACTGAATTATTTACTTTAATTAATTTAATTAACCTTTTAAATTTAAAAAGAAAAATATTTTAATATTTTATTTTAACCAGTCCAAAAATTTAATGGTGAGATTCAAGAACACCAGACTGTACTAGTTACAATTATCTTGTTTCGTAAATTTTATAATTTATTTATTTAACTAATTTTAAAATTTAATCCCTGAAAATGACGAAATTTCAGCCAGTAATTTTTTTTAAACTTGAATTTTGATTGCTGGAATCTGAAATGAAGTAAAAATTTAAAAAATTGTAACAAAATCATCAAATGACAATAACAACCCAGTACAAAACAGAATCAAAATCCAGAAAACAATTCAAAAAACAAAACTTGACGTCAAAAGTAACAAATACGTCACTTACGTCACATAATCACACCTAATTCAACCTTTCAACTCTTCGTAACTAACTAGTAACAGACGGACGATAATATAAAATACTTTTTGTAGGCATAGACAACTAATTTATATTTCATTTATATAAAAAAGACAAGTGCCCGTCTGATATCTATGTATATAAATATATATATGTTCATTATGATATACATGTATATGTATACAAACATATATATATATACAAACATACATTTCCTAAATTGGTTGTGCAATAGTAATTAAGATGACGAATTTCTGCTAATCTGTGAGGCATCATCATTGAACGATGTCTAAGATAAGTGAGTCCCAGAATAATACTACTACTACTACCACTACTACAACAACTAATAATAATAATAATAAAAATAAGAAGTAAAATAATAATAAAGATAAAAACTATAGTAGTAATAATGAGGATAATAACTGGTAAGGATGATAAATATGGAGATGAATAGTTTCGCTATGAATAATGCGGTTGTTTGTACTACTGCTACTACTACTACTACACTGCTACTACTACCACTACTACAACAACTACTACTACAACTAATAATAATAACAATAATAATAAACAGATATAGCGATGCAAAAAATTAACAAGCGTATGATATGGCCAGAAAGCATTTTTTTTCATTGTTGAGAAATGAAAATAAAATTTTAGTGATTTCAGTAAAACTTTATAATCGCTTAATTAGTATTAATTAGTAAAGTTATGAATGTGTGAGAATGTGTGAGTGTGTTTTTTATGAAAAAATACTAACAATAAAGACAACAGCAACAGAGATGAGATGAATCGGAATGAAATAAAATGAATTGAAATAAAACGTAAAATAACGTAAGTGGGTCGTACAGCCTCAATCCCATCACTGTCTATGTATCTTTCTATTTCTCTATCTCTCTCTCTCACTATCTATCCATCCATTCATCCATTTATCTATCAATCCATCCATCCATCCATCTATCTATTTATCTATCTAGCTAGCTATCTAGCTATCAATACATTTCAATAAATAGAAATGTTATAAATAAATAAAATCAATAAATAAAATGTTTATCTATGAGTACATACATATGCATACAAACAAACAAGCATACATACATTCATACACATACATACGTACATATTCGTACATTCAAATCAGTACACACAGAAAATAAAAGCGATATGGTAACAGATAAACTGTTAGATATTTATTTATCTCTCTCTTCTCTTCTTTCTTTTTTCAACTCTTCTAGCTATCTATATATCTATCTATCCAAAAACTCATTGATCTATTCATATATCTATTAATTCATTTATCAATCGATCAATCAATCAATCAATCAATCAATGTGAAATGAATCAAAATTAGATTGCGACGTATAAGTTATGAAAAAATATTACTTCATTATTACTATTAAAACTAAAAAAAAAACATAAATATAAAAACATCTATATCTATATATCAATGTATTTATGCAAATGACGTCACGCGGCAAAAACATAGACACGGAAACAGACTTACATTCGCACATCTATGCTAATAACCCACGAAATGTAATAAAGTGCTAAAGAATAGATAAAATACTCACCAACGCATCGCTACAGAATGATATTGCATAACTGATAGTGACGTCACAATGACGTAATAATAATAACAAAAATGAACACATTTAAAATTGTGGACAATAGCGTATAAATAATACCAGGAAAAAAAATTTTTACAAAAGGATAAATGAGTATAATACATGAATGAATGAATATATATATATATATATATATATATATATGAATGGTTTGTGTGTGTTTGTGATACTGCTGTCAACAAAAAATTTTAATACTGGTTAGCGAGATTTAAAAAAATAAGGAAAGTAACAAATTTAATTACAATGGAAACGTTATTATTATTAAAGACATCTTAATTAAAACGTTTGAAATTAGTCCAATAGGTTTTTAATTAATTAATAGTTGTTCACAAGAACAAAACTTGAACAATTCTTGTGTCACTTTACCATCATCACACTCTTGTATTAAAGATGAGCATCAATGAATAATATAAGCATTTATTATATATGTATTTATATATGCATATACATTCATATATATATGATATATTTATAATAATAATAATGTGATACATTTAACTGTGTGTATATTTATGAATTTGATTTTAGTTTTTTGAGTTTCAATAAGAGAAGTTTTTATTATTATACACTCAACTCTGCATTCGTTCAGAGGATCTGTATTCGTCAGAGGATTGAACTCTGCGACTAAAGGCTCAGTTGAGCGGAGTGGCTTTTTAACTCTCTCGTCTGAGACTATTTCAATGCAAGAAGATGTCCATATATTGCTGGAAGATCGTTTCATACTTTTGGCAACAGCAACAACAACAACACAACAACAACAACAACACAACAACAACAACAATAACAACAACAACAACGTCATCAACAACGAAAACATCAACATGATCAACAACAACAATCAACAACATCATCATCAACAACATCAACAAAATCATCAACGAAGACAACAACAATAATTATAATAGTAATAATAAAAAGAATTTTTAAAAATAGTAATCGAGTATTGCATGAGTATATTTAGATATACATATATATATATATATATATATATATATATATATATATATATATATATATATATGTGTGTGTGTGTGTGTGTGTGTGTGTGTGTATATAAATACATACAAACACAAACCCACATACACACCTACACAAACACACACACACAAACACACACACAAACACACATACATACACATACAATCACACACACACGTTCAAGATGAGATATGAAATCATTCCTGATACACGCGAAATAAGTAGATGAACTGTCCCATAGAAATGAAACTTCTTATAAAAATACTAGCAATCACAACAAAGATATTAATAATTATTAATCACTATCATAATCATCATCATCATCAACAACAAAAACACCATCACCACCACCATCATCATCATCATCTCATTATATCACCCAAGAATCGTAAGTACTGGCGGATATAATACCGGTCACCCAGTCGGGCAGTATCTGTTCTATGGAGGAGAGGGCGGGCGATAATTGAGTGGCGCCATTTACAAAATGGTGTCCCAGGAGGGCCACCTCAAGGTTTCTTCTCTCCGCCAATGGCTGGTTAGAATGTGTGCTCTGTAGAGAAAGAATGAATGAATAGTAAATGAATAAATGAATGGATGAGTGAATGAATGAATAGATGAGTGAATGAATGAATGAATGACTGAATGGATGAACAACCTCAACAACGAAATGCAGAGTGAACTGTTTCAGCTTATTATTCCTGTTATTATTATTATTATTATTACCATTTCTATCATCATCAGCACCATCGCGGTTACTACCGCCATAATTACCACTTATATTATCGCCCACACCACCATCAAAGATGGCGCCTCTGGCAACATAGATAAAATAATGCTTCTTATTATCGTCAGCAACATAGACATGGGGCATATCGGTGGGTGCCGGATTTTGGTTCCCTATCGACCACCAGGTCAGGTAAACGCTCGACATCGTGCTAATGTAAACGCTCATGTAGTTGGGGCCTGGTAGTCGTGATGATGATGATGATGTTGGTGATGATAATAGTGGCGATGATGATGATGATGATGACGGCGGTGATGATGATGATGATGATGACGGCGGTGATGATGATGGTGGTGGTGATGATGCTGATGATGATGGTTGCGGCGATGATGAAGATGGTGGTTGTGGTAATGATGATGATGATGATAATGATAGTAGTTGTGGTGATGATGATGACGAAAGTGAAGACGGTGATGATGATGATGATAGTGAGAAATCGAATTGGGATGAGACAAATAACAACGATGTGTAGGAGTAATATCATCATCCTCCTCCTCATCATCATCGTCGTCATCATCATCATCACCGCACCTCTGATGGAGAGAGTGTAGTTTATACTTCCACCACCATGGGCTTTTTTGTAATTGAACTCCACAATCTCGACATCAGGGAGGATTGATAGGGGCGGAGCTTGCTGGTGATAAACCTCACTGGGGTCAATCCATCAATCAATCAATCAATCAATCAATCAATCAATCAATCAATCAATCAATCAATCAATCAATCAATCAATCAATCAATCAATCAATCAATCAATCAATCAATCAATCAATCAATCAATCAATCAATCCATCAATCCATCAATCAATCAATCAATCAACCGATCAATCAACAAATCAATCAATCAACCGATCAGTCATTCAATCAGTCTGTTGATTACTCAATCATTCATTCATTCATTCATTCATTCATTCAATCAGCCATCCAGCCAACCAACCAAACAACAAGTCAGACAGCCAATCAACTAACTCCATGTGGGTGATGAGGGGCAGAAAGAATGCCCATCCGCAGTATGGCCTGTTGGGCAGGCAGGGAAGTTTTTTGTACGTTGAGAAGTCTCTGTAATTTTCATTCACCTGTTTGGTTGTCAATCAATCAATCAATCAATCAATCAATCAATCAATCAATCGATCGATCGATCGATCGATCAACCAATCGATCAACCAATCGATCAACCAACCAGCAAGCCAGCCAATCAACCAATAACGATAACAACAACATCAATAACACCAACAACAACAACAACAACGACATAAACATCGGTCAAAAATAAAAGCAACAACTACTTACTACATCATCTCCCAACACTTTATTTATATTATTCATATTTTTATTATTATTATTATTATTAGTAGTAGTAGTAGTAGTAGTAGTATCTTTAACTCCAGGGAAGTGCTCTAGTCTTGTCCTGTCTAGTGGAACGCAGACGATATTGTTGTCTTCCAGTACATCACTATCATCATCATCATTATTATTATTATTATTGTTGTTGTTATTGTTATTTTGAATGTTGTTGTTGTTGTTCACAGGAAGAAGTTCACCATGGAAACGTCGTCTGACATGCTAGACGATGATGATGATGATGATCACTCCCACGATAACCATCATCATCATGACAGACTTCATCATCATCATCATCATAATCGTCTCAGACATCATCATCATCATCACCATCACCATCCTAGACTTCATCATCATCATCATTATAGACATCATCATCATCATCGTTACCAAGAGACAACCTGCAAAAAGACTCTCTGATTAGCTGGATATTCGCTGCTGTTGTTGTATGGAAAGCCGACAGGAGTAAGTGTGGCGAGTGCGAAACAGACAGCCAGCGCCAGCCCCAAAGTGGCCAGGTGCCTCTTCGGAGACCTCGTCACCATCAACAGACTCACCTTCCAGAAAATTAATTCAGTAATAATTATTCTAGCAGTTGTAAGTTTTAATATAATAGTATTACCAATAACACACACACATATTGTTACACACACAAAAACACACACACATATTGTTACACACATAAAAACACACACATATACACACACACACACACAAAAACACACTAATAAACACACACACAAACACACTAATAAACACACAACCAAAAACACTAATAAACACACAAACACAAACACACACATACACACAAACACAAATTCAAACCCCACTCTAACATGGTAGGCCATGAAATAGAGACTGAAGACGGCGACGGCAGTCCCGATGATGAGGTCGGGATTTTTGGACGGCCCTGCACGGCCCATCAAGGGTATGAAAGTGTTTAGTGCCCCCTCAAGGAAGTAAATATTTAGCAGACAGGATGGCAGAAGTGAAAGAATCTGGCAGGTCAGGTGGTGGTAGTAGTGATCTGAATAATAACAAATGGATGGATGGATGAACGAGAAAACGAACGAATGAATGAATAAATGAATGAATTAATTAAATATTTAAAAAAATGACAACTAAATAGACAAATGTGTGAATGAATGAATTGATATCAAAGTAGACAAATGAATCGCAGAGTAGCCAGATAGAAAAAAAAGAACGAATGAATGGTTGAATTAATGAACGGATGAATGAATTGATGGATGAATAAATGAACAAATGAAAGAACACACACAAAAAATATCCACCTTTCTGATTCCATTTGAAGATGTTAACCAGGAAAACTTTCAACAGAAATGAAGATAGATAGACAGAAAGTAGAAAAGATGACGCCACCTGCTTCCAGGACAAAAAAAGTAGGGATGTGCTGATTATGACCAACTGGCCGTCATCCAGAAGGCTTTCCATATTTGAAGCTGTCAATCTCGTGTGCTTTCATGATGGGAAATAGTGATGAATGAACTCGATTATTTTCAGATAAATGTCAACTCGGCAATACGTATCTTACATAACATTTCTTTGGCAAACTTTTAAAACTAAAATGTCAACAGTAAGTTTATATAAAAGGTGATAATATTAAAAAAACCTTTGTCCAATAGGATTGCAGGTAACTCATGACCGAGATAACGCCGGCCAATGAGGGAGCAGCGTAGAGACCAATCAGAAGCCACCTATTAGAAAACCAGGTCATGGGAAACCCAAGAAAATCGATGAGGGCAGCTACCGAAAGTGAGGCTAAAATGCCAGCCACCCAGGACAATATCGTCGACAGGACAGATGTTGTCAGGTGGAAGAGGTAGCCTACATATTTATGACCATAATGGAAACGATAATAAGATAAGAAACTCTCTCTCTCTCTCTCTCACACACACACACACCACGTGCCAACATTTGGACTTTTAAAAGCGTGAGTGTATATACATATATGAAATGATCTTTTATTCAACAACAATTTCAAATAAATAGAAAATAATTGTTAGAATGATTGAAATAACACGCCAAGTTCATCGAGCCGGACTACCTTTCTGAAGAGTTAATTTAAATATGAGTAATTTTAACCAGAAAAGTGTGTAGTGAAACTCTAAAAACGAAATTTAAATCATTCAGCATTTTAATATATAAATAAAGTGTAAATGGTAATTTAAAAAAAACATTAGAACAAATTAGATTCTTTTATGAATGATTTCAAGATCTTTTTAAACTTGTACGAAGATATAACATTGCAGATTAGGTTGTTTTCTTTTTTGAAATTTATTCCAGAGTCGGGGACCCGAGCAACTAATATGGAAAATTAAAATGTTCTTGTTTTGCCAGTTTTAAAACAAGACAGTTTTGTTGTGTTTCTCTGGCTCTTTTGTATTTGAAGAGAAGGCCATTTAGCTGTTTGAAGACGAAAATTCCCGTAAGGTAAGCATGTTGTCGCGTGAAAGAGAAGGCGAGATTTGATCGTGATAAAACATTTCTAGAATTTTTTCGATTGAAGGCAGCTGTCTGGGTGCATTTTTACTGCCATTTTCATGAGTTGAAAAATTCCTTCAGTGTGGAATTTACACGTTGAAGCCCAAACTAAATTACAATAGTTAACATATGGCCGACGTAATGCATTGTACAGCAACATACGACTTCTAGTGGAAAGATAAAATTTGTGTTTTGTTGATTAAGCCAAGGCCTCTGGCAAACTTTGAAGCAACATTTTTTACGTGAGGTACAAATGTTAATTTTTGAGCTATGTACATTCCTAGAAATTTGCAAACTTCAGTGTCACTTATAATTACGTTGTCAATACAATCGTCTATGAATTCTACCCATATATATGTTACATTCTATACATATATATATATATATTTACAATATTCTATGAATTCTACCCATATATATGTTACATTCTATACATATATATATATAAATGGATATATATATTATGGTCTATTACCAACATATATATATATATATATATATATATATATATATATATATATATATATATATATATGAATATATGTCATATTCTATATATATGATTCTACCGAATGGTTGGCATCATTCAAAATTCAATATATAACAATACAGTTGTCACAGTGCTTTGATGTCTTTTGTACGATCACAACCATCACGGTATCACAATCCATTTAAATTAAATAAATAGTCGGGGTTTTTCTTTGTTGTTTTATTATAATCATCACCGAAATCGCGATTAAAGGAAGAAAATTTTTTGATGTATGTCGTTAGTAACATGGCCAGCACTGACAAAGCATGGAAGTTAAAAACCGTTTTATTGATGTCAGGAAGAACTTAAAAAACAATTGGCGTTTATGGCTTTTTTAAAATTGGTTATCAAGTTTATTTTATTTCATTAGATTATTTATTATCATTATTTTTATTTCATTATTTAGTTTATTTCATTATTTGAGTTCGCAAACGAAAGCTGGACGCACACGCACGCACACACACACACACACACACACACACACACACACACACACACACACAAACGAGCACTAACAAACCTTTACGTGCTAGTGATGACAAGACTTTGAGATGAACCAGCAAACAGAGCAAATTATTATAAGCAAACAAGAATGAAGCCCTAAAGCAGACAACCGAGTAGCCAATCAGGTCAAAGAATACAAGCTGTTTGTATGGAAACGAGTCGGGATTGGTCAAGTAGGCGGAGCTCGCTATGGACCTGACCAATGAGAAGAGGTTTTCACCTGATTAAAATAGCAGTGAAAAAACATTCACAATCATTATTGCCGTCATCATTATCGTCACCATCGTAATCATCATCATAACCTCCTCTCTGTATACATCCAGCTGGTATCATTCTAGGAGTATCATGCCTCGTATGATACACGTATCCATTCTTTATGTACGCAATGTCAAGGCCTTTGGTGATGATGATGATGATAACTATGATAAGATGGTTGTTGTTGATGGTGATGATGGTGATAAAAACAGTAGAACAACAACATGAAATTAGTGATAATGAATACCAATAAATCACTCATTTTTCGTATTTTAATTAAATAATTGATTCATCATTCATTCAACCCATCCAACCATCCATTCATTCATTCCTACATACATTCATTCATTCAGCCATTCATTCATTCCTTCAAGCCATCACACTTACCTGGCAGTTTACCGAAATCTCTAAAGATTCTAAAATCAGTTTCTGACTGTATGAGGCCACTTTGAAAAATTTCCTGAGCCAAAATGCTGGCAAATGGGTGGGGCACATTTTCCACATACATGTTCAACAGCCAAGGGTGTTGAGATGCTGTGATTTGATTGGTCAGTCGTTTGTTACGCTGTGACGTGATTGGTCGACGAATTACAATACCGTAACGTCAGTTTGATGGAAAACTATAATGTCGTAATGTGATTAGTTAGTGAATTATGATGCAACGATGTGATTGGCTGGTGAATTACATTGATATTTTTTGATTAGATGGTGAATCATAACGTGGGAGTAGCTTACACGCTGATTGATTTGGCAGTTTAATGACTAACAAAAACACTAACAAGATTGAAACAAGAGTTCTTTGCCCCCGGCTCCTGCACCCTCCAAATTTATGAATGCCCTCACGTCATGGAACCACCTGTGTGACGTCACAAACGCATGGCTACCCTGTCATGTTATACGAGGCATTTGTGGGTATAGGTGCAGTTAATTGAGTGTATTGGATTGAATTGATGTGATCCATTCAATCAATTTTTTTTGTTATTTAATTATTTAACAAATGTTTATTAGCGTGTTTATGTGGATTCTTACGCGCGCGCGTGTGTGTGTGTGTGTGTGTGTGTATTTATAAAAGAATATGTTTATTTATGAGACAATATGTGTGCATTTAAGTGTGTATACATGCGTGAAAGTACACATTCATGTATTGGATGTAGAATCTACATTGTAGATCTATTGGTAATCCTGTACATCATAGCTCCACACTGACTAACTTGTAATATTGTTTCCTCGGCGCCATTAAACAGGAAGATGACGTCATGAATTAGGGATGTGTCTTGTCGTTCGACTAGCGCTCTCAATACTTCCAGCATTATAGCGCAACTTACGGCGTCATCTGATGTTCCTGGAGTTGTTGCATGTATGTGTGTATGTATGTATGTATTTTTTGTCGACTTAAAAGGTTTTCTATACAGCAAACATACAAACAAACATACAAACAAACATTAAATAAATTGAGTATACCATAAAACACAATTAAATATAGTAATCTAACCGGGAGTGTTAATAAATGTATCATAATGACAGTTAACAAGCAATGCAGGGTTGAGTTCACTTGTCTTGTTCCCCCCTCCGTCAGATGATGATGACAACCTCACAATCACGTTCTGAATGTTCTGATAGACGTTCGTGAAGCCACCTAGAAAGTCCAAATCAAAGGAACCGCTAGCTGTCTGAATTTCTGCCTAAAAAAGTCAGTTTTTGAGATTTTTATTTTCCTTGAACATTTTTAAAGAACCAATCTTCAAGAAATTAAAAATAAAACCTCAGTACCTTGTGGTTTGTTCAAAGATAATAAAAATTATAATAAAAAAAAATTTAGTTTTATAGTACTAGAACTAATTTAATTGCATCATCAAACTTACAAACTATTACCTCAATTTTCTTTTTGTTCCAAACAATTCTTTCATTTCTTCTTTTAATCTTTTCAATCTCTCGCATCAAAAACTGGACGGCCAGAACTTCATTCTCTCGACTGCCGACTATTCTGCTACCCAGATCAACAAAACCGTTCAGATAATCCCGTGCCCTTTCCTCAGAGAAAACATCAGCCGACCCTAACTTTGCACTAATCGGCTCGGGGAAAGTGTAATTTCTGACGTAGATGAAACAGGCAGCGAAAAAATATACTAAAATGATAAAGACCCATGATGAACCTTTGTAATTTAAGTCTTTGGCAAACGATGCACGGCCAGCTCGTCTAGTGACATCATCATCGTCGTCGTCATCTTTGAAAAAATTTGCACTTTGATTATTAATAGCATTAGTGAGATTAGTTCTATGACGGAGAGATTCGCGCATAGTGCTCTTGTTTAAAAAAAAAATTTAACTTTAAAACAGATTAAAAGACAAATTAAAAATTAGATTTTGGCAGTCTATCTAAAAGACAAATTCGCTTTTAAATTTTATATAATTGTGTAGCGCGCAGCATTTTAGGTTAACGTAGTAGATTGCTTATAAAAACCCAACTTTTCACTAAAACTCGAACAATCTACAAAAAATTTACTTAGCAAAACATCATTTTTCCAATTTATTCATTAAAAATACTCTACAAAATTAAACGCGTGCACATTGCTATATATTGATATAAAACAACACACTAAATATAACCATATGAAAATAAATGTTGTGATTAAATAAGCATTAATATAAACTTTGGAAATGTCTATATATGTATATATTCTATATTTATGTCTATATGTCTAATAAATGTCTATATATTCATTAATTTATGTTATAAAAACTAAGCAGTTTGTTTGGTCCAAATTAGTTATCAAATATAGTCAGGAAATCTTTAAAATTAAATTATATATATATATATATATATATATATATATATGTATATATATATATATATAAGTATTACATAATGACAATGTGATACTGATGAATGAAATGAATGATATAATTATTGTATCATATCAAGATACTATCATCATAGTCATTGTAGAACCATTGTAGCTATTGTTAGCATTATATTGGTTATACATTTCTAAGAAATTTATAAAGAATATAATTAAGTATTAAGATCTAATACATGTAAAACACATCAAGCACAAGGAATCATAGGTTGTTTAACTGGAATTTGAAGGTGGTGTAAAAATATTAGCAATTAAAATTTCTGTTCAAAAAATTTATAAAATATTTTAAAAAGATTTAATTCAATATACAAACAAACGAAGCAGTGAAGGAACAAACGAATGATTGAACGAACGAACAAACGAACTAATGAATGGATGAATGAATGATTGAATGAATGAATGATTGAATGAAAATCACATGAAAACTGATCAAACTAATGAATGGATGAGAATCACTTAAATATAAACAAACAAATAAGTGAATGAATGATTGAACGAACGAATGAATGAATAAATGAACGAATGAATGAATGGAGAAATGAAAAAATAAATGAAAGAAGAAAAGAGAGAAAAAGAAAGAAACGAACACATGAATAAATACATTTAGTAAAAGAATGAAACTGAGAATTTAAAAATTTTTACAGGATCACCATACAGAAAATAAATGGATGTAAGCCTTCGTATATATAATTATACAGACAGCAGCACTAGAGTTTAGAAGTTCACAAATATGAAATTGGGACACAACATTAAAAGTGCACTGAGAACAAATAGGTAAATACATAAATAAATAAATAAATTAATTCATTCATTCATTGACTAATTAATTAATTAATGAGTAAACAAATGAATAAATGTATGAATGATAAGTAAGTCTGGAATAAATTGAGAATTATTAAAAAATAAAAAATTTTTCAGTGATATTTTCACAAAAAGTGTAATAATTGATATATATATATATATATATATATATATATATATATATATATATATATATATATATATATATATATATGTGTGTATATATGTATATAATCATTTATTTGCTTTTTGTTAACTAATTTAGAAAAGCAAAATAATTTTCCAGTTGTTTCTATGTAAGCAGCAGTAGCAAAGAGGATTGGTATGAGTTTGGCTGGTTGGTTGGTCCCTTGAGACGTTTGTGTGTGTTTGTGTTTGAGTGTGTGTGTGTTTGTTTGAGTGTGTGTTTGTTTGTTTGAGTGTGTGTGTGTATTTTAGTGTGTTTGTGTGTGTGTGCGTGCGTGTTTAAGTTAGATCCTCTCATACTCAGAGGTTCTGCAGTGGCAGCAGCAGCAGTTCTGTGTCGGTAGGAGGAGGGGATGATGAAAAATTATTGAAAAATCTTAAATAAAATTGCAAAAAAGACTGAAAAAGTATCAAAAAATGTGAAAATTTGAAAAAATGTCATGTATTTTTATGTCATAAATCGTCATTTGTGTTATCACTATTATAAAATGGATACATCAATATTAAAGAAAACTTCAAAAGTAAGCTACTGACAAACAAAGAAAGAGAGAAAGTGATTTACATTAAACTAACTTATCAACCTAAACAACCAACCAGCAAACAAACAAACCAGCAAACTGACCAACAAACCAGCCAACCAACCAGTTAACCAAGCAACCAACCAGTTAACCAACCAGTTAACCAACCAACCAACCAACCAACAAACCAACTGACACTAGCCAACCACAAAACAAATAAACCATCTCCAAAACGAAAATCCAAACAAACCCTGATTGACAAGCAGAAACTGTCATAGGCGGAGAAACCAGGTACATCTCCGAATCTTCTTTTCTTCTCGAAGTAAAGTTTGTCAGCAGCGTAAACAACACTTACACAGATTAAAAGCAATGCTAAGACACTGTGTGGTTTTTTATGAGTATGTGTGTGTGTGCCAGTGTATGTGTGTGCCAGTGTATGTGTGTGTGCGTGTGTTCGGGTGTGTGTAGACGAGTGTATGTGTGGTATAGGTAAGAAAAAACACACATACTAACAAACAAACAAACAAACATACAAATAAACCAACAGACAACAGACAAAACTAACAAGGTCACAATACTTACACAGAGACAAAAAAAAGACCAAAGATCAAAAAACCACAAACCCGAGGATGACATAGAGAAGTATGTACCCTGATTTACTTTTGCCACCATCACCATGGTAACAGGCTTTGTTGGTTAGCAGTAGAAACTTCTATGGGTGGGGTCCATAATAATAATAATAATAATAACAAAAATAATAATGATAAATAATAATAACAATAATAATAAATAGTGAGAATTACAAGATGGAAATAAATGATATTAATAGGTAAGAAAAAAATTGAAAAATTAAAAAAATTTTTTTTCCATAATCTAATGAAAACCAATAAACCTGCCAACCAAAAAACCAATCAGCCAGCCAAACAACCGATCAATCAATCAATCAATCAATCAATCCGTCAATCAATCAATCAGTCAACCAACCAATCAAAAAACTAACATAAGTCGAATTACTGCCATCAACGGCAAGAGCGCTAAAATGATCGGACTCTGTAACATTGTCTATACACATCACCGTCACCTCATAAGTCGTCCTGTTATTATTCAACAACAACAACAACGACAATAATAAAAAACAATAATAAAAAACAATAATAACAACAGCAACAACATCAATACCAACACATCAGTATAGATAATGGACCAGTGAGTTGAGTTAATGTTATGGAATGTGGATTGATTCGTTCTAGCAAGTATCACTGTATGGTTTAGCATGCCATTGATTTTCTTGTATAACTGTATGTATATATATATATAAATATATGTGTGTGTGTGTGTGTGTAAGTATTATCACATATTTGTGTGTACTTATATGATGAATAATTTCTTGTATGTGTATACAATTTGTTGCATGCATGCATATGTGTATGTGTGTGTGTCTGTATCTATGTATGCATGTATGTATATATGCAAACAGTTATCATTCTTAAATTAATTTCTAGCAGAAACAGACAAAACAAACCGCCACATCATTAGACTCTAAAAGTGAATTTCCACAAGGAGTGAACCAGTAGTCGACAGACTCATTGACTGTCCTAACCTCTGTACTTACACTAACACTAACAAAAATTTAAAAATCAAGAGCATTTTTATTATATGAATTTAAATATTTATACAAATTGGTAGTTTAATTATTGATTTCAATCACAATTAGCTATTAATTACAATAATTGAATAATGTTTACCCTACATTACAAAATTTAATAATAATAATAATAGTAACTTTTGAATAAAATTCAAAATAGATCTAAAAACCAGCATTTCACATGCAAACAAGCGCAAAAAATCAACGTACGACGGCCATTCACTAACTCACTAAACTAACCCTGCTAAATCGAGCTCCAAATTATCGCCCTCCTTACAATGGCAAGTGTTGTTAGGTAACAAAGGACACACTGCAGAACTTTCCTCCACAAGAAACGACCAACCCAAATCGACGGAAACCACCATTAAAACAGCAAAATCGATTAAATTATTTTTTGAAATCATTTTTGAAAAGTTGGTTTAGTGATAAATTTGCTTTTTTTAAGAATTAAGTGGAAAAAGAAAAAAGTCATGTGAAAAGTTTAAAATGTTACGGGGGGGGGAAAAACCAGGCGACAAATTAGGCTGGTCTCAAAGTAAAAAGTGAATCTAAGCTTAAAATAAAAATGTACTCTAGACATGTATTTAAATGAAAAACTAATCAAAGCTATATACTGATATTTAAATAAATAAGCATTTTACTGGCAAAAAAAATCAAAAAAAATAAATTTAAATAAAATGAAAAAATACGTTATTATCAGCCATTTTGCTAAAAACCGAGGTTTATTTGAAAATAAATCTTTAAAAGTTGAAATATAACACTCTAATGCAAAATTTTCTATTTTGATTCAAACTTAAAGCAATCTTTATCATTACGATCATCATTATCACCATCACCTCCATCACCCTCACCTCCATCATCATCACTATCATCACCATATTAATCATCATCAGCACCGCAATGATGACGTCATCTGATGCATCAATCAAAAAAACTAAATAACGATGGGCATTATTATAATTGCTACCTGGCTTAATGATAAATGAATGCCATGAGCGTTTAAAAGGTTCATCTTGTGTCACCTGACTTTCGTGTTGGATTAAGGACGACGATGATGATGATGATGACGACGACGATGCTGATGACGATGATGAGGAATAGGATGATGATGATGACGATGATGATGATGATGACGATGACGTTTATGGTAAATATAATAGCCAAGATGATAGTGATGATGGTCAGCTAAAATGATGACGATGATGATGGTTATAATAAATTTAATAGAGACGACGATGATGATGATAGTGGTCGTTACGTCAGTGATGATGATGATGGTTACGTTAGTGATGATGATGATGGTTACGTTAGTGATGATGATGATGGTTACGTTAGTGATGATGATGATGGTTACGTTAGTGATGATGATGATGGTTACGTTAGTGATGATGATGATGGTTACGTTAGTGATGATGATGATGGTTACGTTAGTGATGATGATGATGGTTACGTTACTGATGATGATGATATGACGATGACTACATGATGTTATAATGTTAAATATAGCTGCCACTATTTCTACGTGCTATTAAGTTTGTTTTCCATAATTGATTCTACTATTTTTGGCGATTAAAAATCTTTTTTTACTATTATTTTCATCATTTTAGTCATCATCATTATCCTCCTCATCATCATCATCATCGTTATCAGCATCATCACCACCATCATCATCATTTTTTGCACTTTACATCAAACTGTATTAAAAATAAGCTAATAAAAGAAATTGCGCATTCTCTAAATTCTCTCTCTCTCTCACACTCTTCTTTTCTCTTTCTCGTTCTCTTTCTTTTCCTCATTCTTTCAATCTCTCTTTCTCTCTATCCCTCTTTCATTCTCTGTGTCTTTTGTTTTTTTTTGTAACTTTTCATTGTCTAATTAATTGCTTTTCTTTCGATGATGCTTATGCGTCTTTCTCTCTCTCTCTCCCCTCTCTTTCTTTCCTCTTTCTCTCTCTCTCTCTTCCATCTCTCCCTCTTCTTCTTTCTTTTCTCTCTCTCTCTTTTTCCATCTCTCTCTCTCTCCATACAAATTACACATACACGTAGATATATCTACTGAGTATATATAAATATAGTTCGATTGGTAGCACGTTAATCGTCTTGTGAAAATTAAGATGTAGATATTTCTATTATTAATATTATTATTCGGAATTTTTTAAGAAAAAATTAATAATAATAAGAAATAATTAATAATAATAGAAATAATAATATCAGGAAACCAAATTATAACCAAACAATCACGAATTTTATATAAAAATTAATTATATTAATTAATTAATTAAATAATTGATTTATTAGTTATTTAGTTTGGATGTATAATAATAAGAACAGATAAAAAAAATTTTCAAAATAATAATAATAACTATAATTATTATTGTCAAAATCAAAAACACTAAATATCGAAAATGCAAGTCCAGAGAGTAACGTCATCGGATCACGTGAGCAGGTTAGTTGGCGTTTATGGCAATGATGATTTACAATACTACTACTACTATTACTTCTACTACTACTACTACTGCTACTACTACTACTGCTACTACTACTACTGCTACTACTACTACTACTACAACTACTGCTGCTACTACTACTACTACTACTACTACTACTACTACTACTACTACTACTACTACTACTACTACTACTACTACTACTATTACTAAAACTACTACTACTACAACTGCTGCTGTCGCTACTACTACTACTAATACTTCTAGTTATGATGATGATGATGTTGATGGTGTTGGTGATAATTATGATAATTCATAGTCTTAAAAAATTTCATAATTTTTTATAAAGAGTTATTAAGAAGACAAGCCCGAGCGGAAGGGTATGTAAAAGAACGAACGAACGA